TAAGCAACAGTTAAATGGCAATCCGTGTGAGGGTGATATTAGCAATTCCTCGTTAAACTCTATTGTTGCATGGGCCGATTCATTTAAGTACTCAAATGTGTCATTTAACTCGGTAAAACGCGAAGACCAGAAATCCAGGCTTTGGGAGATTTTTCTCTGTGTCCAAGCAAGTGTAGATTTGAATTGCAGAAGGGACGGTGAGGGTATTTGTAGTTAGAAAACACTTGGATGTGGTAAATAGGTGGGAAGTGATCAAAGAATAGTTGTCAGAGCCATATTACTCCACTGTCATTATCCTTCGGTGTTATTTCTTGCACCTCCAGCAAACTGGATGACATGCTCTGTATCAAACCTACGCAAAATTATGTTGCGTGCTAAATACCGAGTAGATATACAAGACCGTTAGCAGCAACTAAGGGAGACTTTTGTCTTTGAGTTTTTTAAAAGGAATCTGGGGTTTCTTTCTACGTAGAATGGCATTACCGACTAAGAAGAGGGAGACTGAAATGCAATTTCTGGCATATTGGCCGTCGCCAGCCAGTCATACCCCACCCCGAATTGTGGAACACCTGGGGCTCGATCCCACGACCTGTTGGTTAGAAGTGCAACGCCTCTAACCACGGAGCCACGGGCTCATTGTCCTGTCGATTGTGATCGGTTACCGCCTTCTGTCATTATTTCTTTCTACACTAAAATTATGTGAACAACCTTGACCAGAACTCTAACCACTGAACCAGGGGCACGTTGTCCTGTCGATTGTGATCGGTTACCGCCTTCTGCCATTGTTTCTTTCTACATTAAGATAATTTGAATGATCTTGACCAGAACTCGTTGTAGGCCGATTGCCTGCATCCAGTGGCGCCATGGGAACACCCCCCCCCCTTTGATTCATCTCACAGTCAGAGGCTGCCGATGTTAAGGCAGCTACCGTAGGGTTCGGAAGTTTTTTGAACTCTGTTATTAGTAGGTCACGGTAACCCGATATTTACTCTTAATGGACACATTTGGCTTCTCTGGTTCATCGATATTTTGCCCCCTGGTTCAATCATAATTAAGGAATCCGAGACGATTAAGTTTAGCCCGGTTTCAGACACTCTCTGTCGAACGTTCCCACCCCCCTCCCCCACATCCCCGGCTCACTTTAACGTGACCACGAGCCAGAGCGGATGTTAAGTCAAAAGTATCACCTTTAACTTGAAGCTGACTTTCAGCAGTCCAATACCTGTTACTGGTCTGAATGAGAAAACGGGATGGAAGCTTAGACAGTGCCACGTGGTCCGAGTGCGTTTACTTTAATTTCAAAACAACTTCTTTATCCCTATCGCCCTGCTCGGTCCACCGTTTGCAGGAATCGAAGGAATCGGTGGTCAGTGGAGCTAATTGCGCTTTATTCTTTATTCAGGATCCGCTGTCCCTCCTTTGCCATATCCAACGTTGAGATAGAACCAAGTTTTCCCGGGTCTGCAAACTTACAACCTCGAGTTAAAACCCAGCGTCGTAGAAGTGAGACAAACTACAAACAAAGTATACTTAATCCTTGATGAAAGTACAGTAGGTGGGATAACTCATGAAATATCAACCGAAATTCCGAAATCCGTTTTCGTTCCGAAAAGATCAACTAAATAGTGTAGTAAAACTAACTGTCCCGCAGCATAATTCTACAACCATTTAGTTACCTCAGGTCGCCGGCTTTCGAACGAACTTCCTCCCGGCTACATACAGAAACTATACTCTGTAAAAAATGACTACTTAAGTGGCATGCATTCATCTCATTGATTTTCGATGCCCCTAAATGTCCAATTATATTTCAAAGAAAGCATGCATACGAATCTTCATTCTTTTACTCATTCGACATCGACTCGGTCCCCATGCGGCTTCGGCTGCACGGGTGACTTGAGTCCGAGACTATCCCGACACGTCAAGCGTCGTGGATAGGAAGGTTGCTGATTGACGCCCGCTCTCGGTTCACGCAGTTCGTCGCGTTGTGTGTGTGTGTGTGTTGTGTGGAGTGGCGGACTGGTGGGCTGGGGACGGGCTGAAACAGCACCTTTCACGGCCCTCTCACGCAAGTGAGAGACACGCCGTTCAACCCCCGTTGTGTGAAATCCTGGTGTTTGTGTGTGTATGGGGGGCCAGGTCGTGCTGTGGCGCGCGCAGACATGGTCAGTCGACCATGTCAGCCACCGCGCCCATTCCCCACTCCAGTCTTCTGACCGGCTCGGACAGCGGCTGGGGTGTGGGGATGGGAAGGGAGAGTGAGGTCGACGACTCAGCGCACTTTCTCCTCACTGTAAACAATCTGACGCGC